CTCAACTCCCAAATAGGAATAAATTTCTACAAAAATTTGAATATTTTTCCTCTTTACTAAGTGGATCCTTAATTGGCTTCATGGACACATTGCTTAAGATCACTATAAGTGTGAGATGTTGACATGTTTGAATCATGGCAGAAAGCCGAATAGAACAGACTTCTTTAAACAGGATTGTAGTCAGCAGTCTAAGGTTCATAGGCAGAGCGAGTGCTTTTAGATTCAGACAGAGTGAGCACAGCCCCAGGTGTACACCTCATACCCTCATGACACCCGTGAGTGATCCATTTCATAATCAGCGACAGCCTTCTCCAGGATTTTGAATCCTTTAGTTGCTATGGTTGGGCATTTTATTAGGGTTTACAAATGCCTTTAAGAAATTATTGCTTCTACCTTGTTGGTCATTTTGATTTTCAAGACAGGATTAAAGGGAGTTATGAGACTTCAGGTTTTTAATTTCCATATATTCCATTCCTCAGAGACTTAACAAGTTGTGCTAATGGATAATCCCAAGCATTTAAAAAATGATAAGAATTTTGGAGCAACTTGTGGCTGTATAATTGAAGACAAGCATTCTACCTCAAGGCAGCTGTGTGGTAGGCTAGGCCTGCACCTTATTTTTTGTTGTTTGTTTTAAACAGAAATTTATTTTCAGCAATGCTGGCTTGAGTTTAAGCATTCTAAGTTTGTTTTGGTGAAGGGAGGTTTATGAAACAGAGTGTTTGCTTCTGGTATATTTGAACTAATATCATTAAAAATACTTCTGACCTACTATATAATTTTTTTGTTGTAAAAGAAGAACCATTTTCATTTTAGAACTTGGGTGCATTTTATGAACAACTCTTCTTTTGATTGTTTTCAGGCATTTTAAAAATCTTAGTTAATAGTGTCTCCATGGCTAAACTAATGAAAAGATACCTTAATTAAAACAGCAGATCAGAAAGTGTTTTACATTATGACAAAAGATTATATTAATCAGATTCAAATGATATCATCTCAGCTGTATAATGGGAAAAGAGATCAACCAGAAAGATTTCTTTTCATTGCTCAGTTAAGTTATAACATGGCTTATTAAGTGGACAGTACTGGCCAGAGAATAATCAACACTGTTTATTAGATGCTCAAGACAGGTATATTTATGAAAATTAATATTTTTGTAATTATAATTTCTATATTGGGTGCTCTGTTCAGATTTTCAACTGGCCTTTTTTTCACTGAAAGTGGTCATTCTGAAGTTGACTTTTAATATGCCCCATACAAAGATTTGGAGATAGAAGTTCAGCATTCATATTGTGCTAGAAATTATAAAATATAGTTTTAAAACAAGCTTTTTGGCCTCAGATTAGACAGAGAAAGATGGGCCTTGTTAACACTTCCATGATGGAGATCGGCTGTGGTGAGCACACAGGTTCCTGCTTCACTAGCTACACAGGCACCATCTCCCACCCCCCTCACCACATCTGGCTTCAGCTCCTTCCCTCCTGCTCAGGTGCCCAGGCCCCCTCCTGGGACCAGCTCGGCCCCTGCCTTCCTGTGTTTTCTTTAGGACCTTGCTCTGTCAACCTCTGGCTCCTGTGTCTTCCTTATTCTCCAGTGGACTCCTTTTGCTCAGCCCGTCTTTTTTCCTTCTTTTTCTAGAGCAAGAATATTTATCATTTTGTTTCTTTATTACATCTTGTTTCATCTTATAAAAGACTTGAGGTGGCTTATAAAAACACATACAATGCAATAATGTATGAAGTTAGGCTACAATAGGAGAGCTAGAATAAGGAACAAAGGCAAGATGAGACACAGCACCTAGAAAAGCAGCCCCCAAACCCCACAGACTTTCTAAAGGTGGGCTCCAAATTTGCTTTTCAGCTGTCAGCAGCCAAATGAAAAGGAGACTATCATCAACGATATAACTCGTAGTCTGAACAAATAGTGGAAGGTTGCCCAGAAGAAGCAAAGCTCTCTTCTTTCCCACTGATGTCTGAGATAATTTTTCCCTGATGAAAGGTCTGCTAAGTTATAAAGTGGACAGTCCTACAGTAAATAGCATAAGGAGTCTTTATGGATCTGTTCAAACAAGGCATAAGGTAATTGTAAGGAACAATGGCAGGGTGGAGGAGGCAGCTTCCCCTTTCCCATCCTGAAGTGTTATAAAACCACTAAAAATCATACCACCACCCTGGACTTCATGAGACCAAAAAAATCTTTTTAACCGTCAGGCAAAAACAACTAAGTAGACACTCAAACTGGAGCACTGGTAGCACCTGCAGACTAACTAGAGGCCCCCCAATAACCCCCTGCCCGCCAGTGGGGCTGGGTTCTCTTCTTTTACACCTTAGCTTTTCAAATACTTTGCGTTAATCAATGATGGGAGTGGAGGGGAAGGTTAAAGCATATTTAATGACCTAAAAACAAACTCACAGAAGAGCATCTATTAATTTTCAAAATTGCAAAGGTTGCCAGACATCCATGAAACTGCCACTGCAGAATGCATTAAAAATGCTGAGTCGTGCAAACAACAGGACATTACTATTCCTGGAGACTGAGCGACTGGCTGGGGTGGGGACGAGCTCCCTGGCCTGGAAGAAGCTCTGGACAGCAGAGTCCAGGCTCAGCAGTCTCTCTGGAGGCAGGAGCTAGTCTAGCGTAGGCACCTTTCTCTAAGGTGTTCTTGAGGAAAGGGCAAATCTCCTGGCTCCTGAATGGTCTTATTATACATATACCACAGCGCCTGGCTTTCTGCTTCGTCATCCTTTCCTCTGGGTCTTGAAGGGCTTTCAGCCTCAGAGGCTCCTTGGGAGGAGCATACAAATCACTGCTTATGGGGTCAGGAGACACTCGGCTAAGAGGGAAGCCTTACAGAAATGGGACTGAAGCTAGATATCCTGATACAGTGTTAAAAACAAGGCAAAGGGGTGGTGGTGGAGGAGGCAGAAGAGAGTATGGGGGATCAATGGTGATGGCAGGAGACTTGAGTTGGGGTAGTAAACCCACAATACAATATACAGATGATATATTATAGAATTGTGCACCGGAAACCTATAGAATTTTATTAACCAGTGTCACCTCAATAAATTTAATAAAAAGAAATAAAAACAAGACATCAAGCTTCAGGTTGCTTATGCTAAGCCCCACATCACCAAATGGAGCCTTAAATATCGTTCCAGCTCTCCCAGAGATGGGATCTTCAACCAGTCCATCTGGACTCACCAGGAGAGCACTCGTTAGATAATCTGCCTGCTAGGCCCCTGCTACCCCCTGAAGGAAACGTCACAATAACCAACCTGCTCAGCTGCCTAGAGAAAGGACTTCCTTGGTGCTGCTCCCTCTATCTATAAAGTCAGCTCCTCGGGGCTCCTTTCTACCTGTTAGATTGAACGTTGCCTAATTCACGAATCACTGAGTAAAGCCAATAGGATCTTCAAAATGTGCTCAGTTGAATTTTGCTTTTTAAATGATAGGGAAAGAGGAGGGCTGAAAACTGGGGGGAGGGGAATGAAGGGTCACAAGTGGCAACTACAAAATGCAAACCCAAGTCTGTTTCCTCGGGGAGCAACAAGCCACTCTTTGTCCAAAAGTTATAAGAAAAATTCCACAAGTTTTTTCCTTTTTCTGTAATGTTTGGGAACGCTCCTTACTTTTCTAAATTTGTCCATATTCTTTTTAAGTTACTTGGAAACTGTGGCATCTGCCTTCAGCAAAAATACTTAAATTTCCCCCCTATTCACACATTTCTTAAAAATCAAATACATTATCAGATTTAATAAAATTATTCAAGAACTGTGCATGATTTACTTCAGGCCTCAGCCCATTTATTTAAAGCTTATATGTAAGGACAGATTGTTATGTTAAGACCAGGAAACAGAGGTTGATTTACTATATACTAAACACAGTTGGGTTGAATTATAATCTTTAAAAAAAAATCGTTATCCAAGGATATGTTTATAGATTTTAGAGAGAGGAAGAGAAAAAGAGAGAGGGAGAAACATGGATGTGAGAGAGAAACATCCATTGGTTACCTACTGCATGTGCTCCCACCAGGAATCAAACCCAAAACCTAGGTATGTGCCCTGACGGGGAATCGAACTGGAAACCTTATGGTGTACGGGATGATGCTCCAACCAACTAAGCCAGCTGGTCAGGGTAGCTTGAATTATAATCTTAAGGAAAACTTTTGATAAAACTCACTTAATTCTTTAAGATTTACTTGTCTCCAAGTAGTCTAACACAGTGCCTGCACATGGTACATGCTCAATAAACACTTATTAAAAAATGCATTTAATTATGATAGAGTTAAGTAATAAAAGACTACATAATTAAACTACCTTCAAATTGCACAGGGGAAAAAAAGGATAGTTTCACAACTATTGGAAAAGTTTGCTGTGGTACAAAAGCAATGTAAAAATGCAAATTGCCCCAAACACACACACTGCCCTGACGGGGAATCGAACTGGAAACCTTATGGTGTACGGGATGATGCTCCAACCAACTAAGCCAGCTGGTCAGGGTAGCTTGAATTATAATCTTAAGGAAAACTTTTGATAAAACTCACTTAATTCTTTAAGATTTACTTGTCTCCAAGTAGTCTAACACAGTGCCTGCACATGGTACATGCTCAATAAACACTTATTAAAAAATGCATTTAATTATGATAGAGTTAAGTAATAAAAGACTACATAATTAAACTACCTTCAAATTGCACAGGGGAAAAAAAGGATAGTTTCACAACTATTGGAAAAGTTTGCTGTGGTACAAAAGCAATGTAAAAATGCAAATTGCCCCAAAACACACACACACACACACACACACACACACACACACACACACCCCATATTTAAACCAGAAACTACATCTCTTTACTCTTTAACTCCCTTGGGTATATTAATTATATATAAAATTTATAAGATACTGTTAATGGAAAGTTGTAATGAAAGTAACGTCAAGAACATGGCAAAAAAAATTATCACTTCTTTTCTAAACAATGATGATTTTTTAAAAAATGCACTTACGCCATTTGGACTGTTGACCCCAGAAATGAGGGTATGCAGTAGTCAGCAGCTGCCAGTGTATATGGGGGGCGAGCAGCAGAATCGTCCCAGTAGATGTCTTTCTTCATCTTGGGTAAGCTCATGTGCATTTCATCCACAGCTAAAAGAGAGACCTGAAAGCATTGTTGCAGTGTTAGAATCACCCAGATGTGAACTGTAGAAAGAAAGATAAGACGTTTCGGAGGGTGGGTGGGAGTTGGAATGGGATGCAGCACAGCCCGATGAGTGAAAATATGAATGTCTGTGGTTCGTATTTGCTGCAACCAGGGCCACTGCAGAGGGTGGGGCTGTGAAACTGCCCAGACGGGGCTCATCAAGCCACATGCCTCCGAGTGGAGCTGCTTCTAACCTGGAGGCATGAGAGGCACCGTCTTCTTTGCTCAGAGCTACCACACTGCCCATCCTGACAGCACCCACAAATCCCAGATATCGCAGGAAGCCGAAGATCCTCAATATCCCACGCTGTGGATTTCATAAACACCTTTATACTTGACTAGAGGCCTGGTGCATGAAATTCGTGCACTCGGGGCAGGGAAGGGTTCCCCAGCCTGGCCTGTGCCCTCTCACAGTGCGGGAGCCCCACGATCCATCTCCCCAAAGAGGTAGGCCCTGCCCACCCATCCGGGGCTCCTTGATGGATGGCCCCAAAGAGGTTGGCCTGAGCCAGGGGTCTTGCCTCTGCACTGCACGAAGCTGCCAGGACCCACACGCAGCCTCCTGGTGATGGACTGTTACGGCGTGAGGGCATCACAGCATGAGGGCATGACGACCACATAGGCTTTTATTAGTATAGATATCATTTCTTTTTTTTTAATTTTAATATATTTTATTGATTTTTTACAGAGAGGAAGGGAGAGAGATAGAGAGTTAGAAACATCGATGAGAGAGAAACATCGATCAGCTGCCTCCTGCACATCTCCCACTGGGGATGTGCCCGCAACCCAGGTACATGCCCTTGACCGGAATTGAACCTGGGACCTTTCAGTCCGCAGGCCGATGCTCTATCCACTGAGCCAAACCGGTTTTGGCTAGATATCATTTCTTATATGTCTTGAACTTTTGTTTGTTTGTTTGTTTGTTTGGAAAAGTGTATCAACACCCTATCCTGCTTGGGGCTATAGTGGTCTCTCCTCTTTGACAATCTGATGCGTGAGTGACTTATTAATCCTCTGGGAATCCAAGTTTTACAGAGTGAGTGGCTTAGGCTTCCTCCCTAGCAGACTGACGGTGTGATTATTGAGAGAGGCGATGGAGACGATGTGTCCGCCAGGTGACCCAGGAGCTGGACCTGGGCAGTTGGAGGCTCCTCACCTGACTGTCCTGTCCTTGGAATGTATGTCCTGGTCACAGTGGAGCTGCTCTCAGGGATGCAGGCTGGAGAGAGCAATGTGTTGTTGAGACGATCAGAACAATATACCTGGCGGCACCCAGCCAGTTAAGGCCTCTGTATAAACTTGGAAGCTTCCGCCAGGTGGGTGAGGACATATGCTGATCTGGTGATCACCCAAGACAAGCCTCGTATGTATGTAAGTGTCCCATTGCTTATTAAACCTGCTGCCCGCCAATCTGGAGCGGCCTGCCTCTTCCTCCAGTCTCTCCTTGCCCTCCCTGTACGGGGGCCAGTTTGCGAGCCTACAGTGACCGATGGTGAAATGTTTGAACCTGTTTAAGTGCCGAGTAAGGGCTCAAAACAAATAGATGAGCTGAAGGCCTTCCACAGGCTGTGGTTCTCAGGGGAGAGAATGGTCTGAGGAGAGCATTCTCCTTATCTTATGCTGGTTCTTCATGGGAAACCTCTGTGGGATAATGCTTCAGGGAAGGGGCCGAGGTCCCCTTGGTGCGATACAGGCGGATCTGAGATACGGGCCAGTGTGGCCCATGCTCCCAGTGTCCAGCTGATGGACATCCGATGGCAGGGACCTACGTGACGTGAGTTTGGGAACTCACATCAGATTGCGTCTGGCTGCCATTATGTCACTGTTAACTTCTCTGGGTGGCAATGGAAAACAGATTAAAGAATGCATTAATATATTGTTTTGTTCTGAGGTGGAAGAGGCTGTATAACATCTATATATATAAAAGCCTAATATGCAAAGTGTCCCCTTGGGAGTTCAATGGACTGGGAGTTCAATTGCTTGCTATGACATGTGCTGACCACCAGGGGGCAGTGCAGAATGAAGAAAGGCTCCAGCCAGCGGCCAGCAGCTGGCAGCTGCTAGGGACCCTACCCATGCATGAATTTTGTGCACTGGGCCTCTAGTTAATAATAAAACTTAAAAAAGAAAACTGGCTTGAAATTCTACTTAAAAGGGGCTACATTTCTCTGGAACTGAGATTCAGGAGCTGTGAGGTTTCAGAAGGTCCTCGGGCAACATACCAAAGGGTCAAACCCCTTTTATTTGGGGCTAACGGTTGGGCCAAAGTTCAAGGGCCTGCATTCAGGATCTGTTTGCATTTAAAATGGCACAAGTAATTTACTATTAACTAGAGGCCCGGTGCATGGATTTGTGCACCGGTGGGGTCCCTCAGCCTGGCCTGTGACTTCTCGCAATCCAGGAACTCTCAGGGGATGTTGGACTGCTAGTTTCAGCCTGATCCCAGCAGGCCGGGCCGAACCTGGCAGTCCGACATCCCCCAAGGGATGTAGCAGTGCGTGAAGCAGCAGGCAACCAGGGAGGAGCCCGAGCCAGGGCTGGGTGCCACTCCCGCTCATCCCAGCCCCTGCTACACCTGCCGCTGCCGCTACTCGGTAGTGCTGCCATGGAGGTGGGAGAGGCGCCACTGCAGCAGCAGCAGCGCTCGCCAGCTGTGAGCCTGGTGTCTGGTGCCTGTAGGTCAGCTGAGCATCACTCCAGCTGTGGGAGCACACTGACCACCAGAGGGCAGTTCCTGCATTGAGTATCTGCCTCCTGGTGGTCAGTGCTTGTCATAGCTACCGGTCAGATGGTCACTTAGCCTTTTGTATAGAGAGATGTATATCCTATATAATAAAAGCCTAGGTGACATCACATGTGACGTCATCACAAGATGGCTGTCACAAGTTGGCCACCACAAGATGGCTGCCCTCACGTCATCACAAGATGGCCGCCACAAGATGGCCGGCAGGGGAGGGCAGTTGGGGGTGAAAAGGCCAGCAGGTGAGGGCAGTTGGGGGCGATCAGGCCGGCAGGGGGAGGGAAGTTGGGGGTGAGATCAGGCCGGCAGGGGAAGGCAGTTGGGGGCGAGATCAGGCCAGCAGGGGAGGGCAGTTGGGGGTGATCAAGCCAGCAGGGGAGGGCAGTTAGGGATCATCAGGTTGGCAGGGGAGTGGTTAGGGGACAATCAGGCAGGCAGGCAGGTGAGCAGTTAGGAGCCAGCAGTCCTGGATTGTGAGAGGGATGTCTGGCAGTCAAACATCTGCCGAGGGGTCCCAGATTGGAGAGGGTGCAGGCTGGGCTGAGGGACAACCCCCATGCACGAATTTTGTGCACCGGGCCTCTAATGTATATCTATCTATCTATCTATATATATATATATCTATATATATCTATATCTATATCCATATATATATATGGAAAGGAAAGGAAAGCTCATCTCACCTGCAAATTTCTGTCAATGCACCAGTTCGTTTCAAAATCATCATCATCTTCTCCAAAAGGGTTGATGAGCTGCTCAGCCACCTGCAGTAAGAACACAGACCAAGTCAGCCACGATGCTGTGAGGACTCAGAGTGAAGGTTGAAGAGGATGCCTGTTTCACACTCTGCTTTCTGTTGTCCCTTCCATCAGATGAAGCCTAGAGGGGAGTGGGTTGTTGTATAGATGCAGATATTTACCAACAAACGAGACCCGACTCTCAGACCCGGAATGACGCACCTGCACGGGCAGGTTCTCAGTGGATCTATTTACCTGGTGGCACTGCAGGCCTGTGCAGAGAAGCCATGGGCTTTTAGAAGTCCTATAATCGATTTTTAGGTACAAATCAAACCACTGACTACAGAAGGAGCCCTGACAGTGTGCGAGGCACTGCACCAGGCACTTTGAGGGGTGCACAGCCTGTGCTCTTAAGGAATTTATGGAGGCCCAGGTGTCGAGACAAAATGTAAACATGGGAAAGGTTCAAATAGCAAAGAAAGACAAATCACAATGAACAAAAATAGTACAAGGAGCTTTATAATTATTGGACATAACTGTTAAATGAATGAGTCTAAGAGCTAGTAAGTCATAAAGCTGGAATTTGTCTTATTTAGTTTTACCCTAAAGGATTTAGTGAGTTAGTTTTCCCACTGGGAACAGTTTAGTAGCTTCTTATATATCTTACAATAATTGGTCAATATTATACGTTCTTACCAGGCTCCTGAATTGACTAGCCTTCTTGATGAGAAATTTAGATGCCAAATATGATTCACCTGTTAGTCTCATTTTTGAGTAATTCCCTTTGATTTTTATTATCTGGGTGTGTGAGTGATTTTTCATTGGGCCTAAATGGGAAAAATTTACAAGTGTATAAAATAAAGGCACCATTGATTAGTAGTTTCTAGATTCTGAGACTATTTGGTAGAAAATCTACCTACTTATTTTTTAGGATTTAAGTCTAACCACTTAGAGCCGTTGTTGTCAGCCTTGGCTGAACAGCAAAATCACCTGGGGAGCTTTTAAAATGAGTGATGCCTGGGTCCCCTCCCCCTGAAATTCTCATTTAATGGGTGAGAGGTTGAACCCAGGCATCGGTGTTGGGTAAAGCCCCCAGGAGACTTCAATGAGTGGCCAGGGGTGAGAACCACCATCTCCCTTATTCTAAGGGACAGCCCTAGCCAGGGCCTGAATCAGTCAGCCTCATAGCAGCATCCATGTCGAGGTCCTTGACTGCAAGTTTTAAGGGGCTCTCTGCCCTTTCTTGTCTGGGGGTTTCCTTAAATTACATGGGCAACTAGATAGGTCTTGAAACTATTTTTGTTATATTCAGAATTTCACTTTTATGGGATCAGTCCCACATACAATAGTAGAGTCTACATTTAACTACCAAAATGATACCTATGCTTCTGAATTAACTATATCACAAAAGTACTTTTTCACTTTCTTAAAGGCTCCATTTCCAGCAAATAACTGAATAATATACTGTTCATAAGGTTAGATGAATTTTCTACACTGTGAAAAGAGTGGTAAGTATTAGAATGGTGTAGACAAAACAGCTGTTTAGAAATTGAGATACAATCTGTGGTGAGAAAACTCACTTCTCTTAGGGCTGCCTCTCTCTTAATGGAGCTAAAATTGGCTTTTCATATGTATATATATTTTAAAATAAAGAATTCTTTTTAAGAAATATATTTTCATTGATTTCAGAGAGGAGGGGAGAGGGAGAGAGAGATAGCAACATCAATGATGGAGAGAATCATATTATACGTTCTTACCAGGCTCCTGAATTGACTAGCCTTCTTGATGAGAAATTTAGATGCCAAATATGATTCACCTGTTAGTCTCATTTTTGAGTAATTCCCTTTGATTTTTATTATCTGGGTGTGTGAGTGATTTTTCATTGGGCCTAAATGGGAAAAATTTACAAGTGTATAAAATAAAGGCACCATTGATTAGTAGTTTCTAGATTCTGAGACTATTTGGTAGAAAATCTACCTACTTATTTTTTAGGATTTAAGTCTAACCACTTAGAGCCGTTGTTGTCAGCCTTGGCTGAACAGCAAAATCACCTGGGGAGCTTTTAAAATGAGTGATGCCTGGGTCCCCTCCCCCTGAAATTCTCATTTAATGGGTGAGAGGTTGAACCCAGGCATCGGTGTTGGGTAAAGCCCCCAGGAGACTTCAATGAGTGGCCAGGGGTGAGAACCACCATCTCCCTTATTCTAAGGGACAGCCCTAGCCAGGGCCTGAATCAGTCAGCCTCATAGCAGCATCCATGTCGAGGTCCTTGACTGCAAGTTTTAAGGGGCTCTCTGCCCTTTCTTGTCTGGGGGTTTCCTTAAATTACATGGGCAACTAGATAGGTCTTGAAACTATTTTTGTTATATTCAGAATTTCACTTTTATGGGATCAGTCCCACATACAATAGTAGAGTCTACATTTAACTACCAAAATGATACCTATGCTTCTGAATTAACTATATCACAAAAGTACTTTTTCACTTTCTTAAAGGCTCCATTTCCAGCAAATAACTGAATAATATACTGTTCATAAGGTTAGATGAATTTTCTACACTGTGAAAAGAGTGGTAAGTATTAGAATGGTGTAGACAAAACAGCTGTTTAGAAATTGAGATACAATCTGTGGTGAGAAAACTCACTTCTCTTAGGGCTGCCTCTCTCTTAATGGAGCTAAAATTGGCTTTTCATATGTATATATATTTTAAAATAAAGAATTCTTTTTAAGAAATATATTTTCATTGATTTCAGAGAGGAGGGGAGAGGGAGAGAGAGATAGCAACATCAATGATGAGAGAGAATCATTGATCGACTGCTTCATGCACACCCCACACTAGGGATCAAGCCTACAACCCAGGCATGTGCTCTGACTGGGAATTGAACTGTCACCTCCTGGTTCCTAGGTCGATGCTCAACCACTGAGCCATGCTGGCCTGGCTCATATTTTTCTTTAAAAATATTTTATAAAAGAGCCCAGCTGGTGTGGCTCAGTGATTGAGCGTTGACTTATTAACCCAGGAGGTCACAGTTTGATCCCCGGTCAGGGCACATGCCCGGGTTGCAGGGTTGATTCCCAGTAGGGGGCGTGCAGGAGGCAGTTGATCAATGATTCTCTCTCATCATTGATGTTTCTTTCTCTCTCTCCTCATTTCCTTTCTGAAATCAATAAAAATATATTGAGAAAAATTCTAAAAGAAAAAAACATTAATATTTTAGAGAGACTGTCAGAAGGCAGGAACTAACTGTTTCTTGTAGGCTGGCCAAACACCTCACATGGACACAAAGCAAGACTATAAATCTCAGCACTACTCATGGGAAAGAACAGAATGATTAACATTTGGGCCAATTTTGGTGATTTTTCTGTTTATAAAAATAGAGTCTAGCCCTTGCCAGATAGCTCAGTTGGTTGGAGCATCATCTGTACACCAAAAGGTTGGGGGTTCAATTCCCAGTCAGGGCACATACCTAGATTCTGGGTTTATTCCCCAGTCGGGGCCAGTATAAGAGGCAACTGACCGATGTTTCTCTCTCACATAGATCTCTCTCTCTCTCTCTCTCTCTCTCTCTC